CACTGTTCAACCCTGGGTCCAAAATGAGTTCCTATTGCACATTGGCTAAGCCAAGCCGATCTTCAACATTTGCCTCAAATTTCACTTCCCCACGAACATTACTCACACTCTTGCTCAATACCTACCGACAGTCGGTGGGAGGAGCGCAACATGCCCCGCCCATTGGATTTTACTTTCTCGCATGGTCGGCAATGATATCCTGCACGTCGCTCATATGACCCACAGTCTGATTGTTTATATGGTCACGGTGCGGCGCGTCAGGCGTGTCGCGCCAGGCTACGGTGCGAATTTGTCAGCATAACACCAAAACCTCAGATTACCTCTCGGAAATGATCAGTTCTCCGTCACCGACCGCTTCATGCTCCACGAAAGCCGCCACGTGAGGCTGGACCAGTCGCACGCCATCGCTCGGTGCTGCAACGTTAGTAAGAACGATCATCAGCACCAAACCACCTGAAAATACTACACTTACATCAAACAAACCCACGAAAACATGCCGCACCACCCCCTAGCCCCATGTACATATTCCATCGATCTTTGCCGCATTACACTGACGAGGTGGCCGTGGAGAGAACACGGGCTTCGAGAGGGTGCAGAGAAAGCTAAACGCAACAAAATACTGCGGCGACGAAGAGAATTAGGCAGAAACGAAGCAAACTTGCGAAATCATCCGAAATGTACGATGCAGCTGATAAAACTCGGCTCGGCCGCGCAAAATGCACTCGCTTTTGAAGTTTGCATTTGAACTCCGGGAATGGTGATGCAGAGTTTTTTGAACAAGACGGGTTCGAGGTGTTTAATTCGAAGTTCCCCTCAACAATAATTTTCATGCTAAGCAAATATAGGTAAGCAGTTAGTTTTATTTATTTCAAAGGATACAGCTTTTTTATTTTACCTTCTTTCCAATCTCTCTAAGAGTTTCCATTTTTACCACTTGTTTAGTTTCTTCCAATTTACATCCTTAACATCCTTATCATCTGTATCCTTTTCATCTTAATTCTTACTCTTAATTATACTCTTAGTTATATTGTTACCACAGCCATCGTACCGATGAGGTCCAACTGTGGTATCGGTAAGAAATGCACACGACTTAATGGACCGAAATATTTCTTACCTATTTTAATACTTCTTTTTCACATCCTTCCTTTTTTTATCTTTTCTATCATCCTTTCTTATATTTTCCAACAGCATTTACACAATTTTCTTTCAACCTTAAACACACAAATATTTTACATGAGAGTTGAAACATTCATTTTCCGATTTTTATTGTCTTTTCCGCATTATTTATATGTTTTAACAACCTTTTTCCTATTTTATTCGCTCCATAATTATTATTTACAAATGTTATTAAAATGCGATTTTATGGTTTTTTCAATATATTGATTCATATTACGCAAATGTTTTTTCTCGCTAAACTGTTATGCGGGCTAGCAATGACTTAAGACACCTGACTAATCACAGTATTTTTTCTTTTTTGAGCTATTGATTCATAAAAGGTAACAAGTTTTGAGAATCAGAGATTGCTTCGTTTTGAAATTATAGCACGAAATTGAAGCCTGAGACCGTATATCAAGGCGCAGGAAAGTGTGCGCTTAGCTTCAAATCATTTAGATTGCTCGTATGCGCATTTTGAATCAGACTTTAAGGATTCCAGTCTTCTTGATTTTGAGTAGGTCAAATCCATGTGACATTATAAAATCGTTCAAGTTATTAATGAATGTCCAGTTGACTGCTGACTTCCCAATGCCCTTTTACACTAATAATAATGAAGACAAAAATAAGGATCAAATAGTAATAGTAAAAGTAAGCAAGGTCATAATAGCAGTTATGTTGTTACTGGATAATAATAATGTAGTAGCATTAGTAATATGACAGAATATTGAAAATAATAACTATCATAACAATTGTAATGATAATAATAACGACAATAAAGATAATAATATTAATAATAGTGTGTGATGTTGATAACAATAAAAATAATAACAGCAATAGCGATAGCAGTAGCCACAATTATTACATTAACATAATCTATCACAAAGCACAGAAGTGCCAAAATAGAATATTTGGAATTAAAAGTTGTTTTGTTTAATGTTTTTTTGACTACGGTAAGTCGTTCTTCCCCTGTACTGATACCCATTCTTCTCACAAGAATAGCATAATTCCTTTTTTTTCTTTCATGTAAGCAATCTTGAAAGCATTGTTCATGTTTTAATTTATTCGTCTTGATATAAATCGTGTTTGTCAGAATCTTCTGGACAAGTACTGTAAAGGATTCGATGCTTGGGATGCTCTCATACTTGCTATGCCAGGCTGTTCACTCCTAAGCTGCATACCTCCAACTGTTCTATTTAAATAAAAGAAGGTAAAATCAAACATAAGCCGAAAACGCATTTTCAGCTTGCACCAACTGTGCGGACGCGGAAAATCAATCTGTCATATGTGATAACTGGAAAGAATTACTTTATTGTCCTACGAAAATCTATTAATAATTGCGAAAATTGATGTATTTTTCAGGAAACCGGCATACAACACCAATTTTCAAAATTTTTACAACCAACAAAGTAAGCCCTAAAGAAAAGAGAGAGCAAAAATACAAAAAGAGAAGGAAGACACCAAAAAATGAAAAGTAACAATGGATTATGAGAATAATATGTGATTCAAAAATCCACAAATTCACGTGCAATTCCCCAGATTTACTTTTTGTAATTCAGAAAGGCACAGCACTTGCTGATTTTCTTGAACAAGCACGATAAAAATCTGTCCAAGCACGAGAAATTTTATTCGAAAAGCTAGTTGTACGGTTCCGTTCAGACACTTTCTCTTTTATCATCTGGTGTCTCTGCTTTTCGCGAAGCTTATCACTCAACTGATTTTCGCCCTGTGCCTGCATCCCTTCTACTGCTTCTGCAGACGGCGAAAAGGTTATTCGCTGAGCTGAGTCGTCGAGATTTGTCCGTTCATCCTTGCCTACTACGATAATCTCCTCGTCATTGGATGACGATGATGACTGCGTCGATGAGCAGGATTGTAACCGGAATCTGCGCCTGTTTGGACGTCGTCTACGGCAAGCACTCTCGGAATCAGCGCATCTTTTGTTGGCCTGAACACGTACCGATAGATTTTGCTGGTCACCGCTTTCTGGGCGACGAATGTTTCGATCGCTTGGTGCTGTGATTTCATCCTGGAAAACTTATTATACGTATTTTCAGCTTTCGCTGTGTCGTTGTTTTTGGGCTTTGTACTGTTGGCCTTGCTGGCGTTGGTGACGAAACCACTCGAAACTTATGGTTTTCACAATGTTTTTTTCTAATTCTTTCTTTTCTGTTTCTGTCGCGAAGAGCTTCTGCATCTACGAGGTATGGACAACATGTAGTCGACGAAGATCATGATAAAAGCATGGATGTAGTTTTTGGCACCCGGCATTACAGTGGGAACCGATTCCGAAACTCCAATCTTTACTTTTGGCACTTGAGTACAAGGATCCCCACAAAATGTGTAAAAGATAAAACTCGAAATCCTGATGTACACAAATGAGCGGCTTACGATAATGAAAAATTCAGAAAACAGATTATTGTATTACCGATGACTGATTCTCGATAATTCTGAAGTTAGAAGCAAAGGCATTTGGTAAATCATTCTCTGCTCCATATTTATTCTAAAACAATGATTCTTATTAGTAGTTCATTAGTTTATTAGTAGTTCATAAAGAAATTTTAGAGTATCTACTTGTTGCATGCACTTCGAAATCAAACTGCCTAATATACGCCCCTTGTTTACTTGTCGGCTGCGTACACACTTCTAAGCATCACCGTCTAATTTCTCTTCCATCCTGAGCATCAACTTGTTTAAATTTTTCACTTTTAGACACTTTAACGCCCCTTGTCTACTTATTCCCGCCTACCTCCAGCTTGTATAAGCATCCTAGTAACACCTCTTTACATCGAAGTTCCAAACTACTGTCCGAGTAGCTGAGTGTAGGATAAAAAATGAAGCTTAAAACCAATTTTTGGTTACGGATACACAGTCTTGTAGAAATAACCCAGATTGAGAGGCACTAGGCTTACCGGTGCGATCATGCGTTTTTGAAGTACTCAGGTCAATAACTGCATAATTGGTTGTTGCTTTACACCTAACTATTGCGCTGACTGGCGTAAATCACCATAAATTTTGCATAAAATAAATGAACAATTTCCATTTAACGGCTTTTCTTTGAATGTGACCTAGCTGTTCATAAGCAATTTTCCCGCCAAAAATTTTAGTGCCCATTTGTGAGAACCATGCACACCTGAAGGCTGAATTAGAAATATTTAAGTTGTAATTTGGACAGGGAATTTCTAGCATTTCTGGTTCCCAAGTTAGTAATTTTCCCGCCAAAACTTTCGTATATCCTTACTCGAATACCACGCATACTTGAAGACTGAATTTGAAATCTTTAGCTCATGCATGCACAGGGAATATCCCTGCAAATCTTCAGTTCCTTACCTTGGTCTGATCCTCTAGATCGCTTTTTTGCATTTTTTTTTAAAGCCCGTACACGGCACCCAGGCGTGGGCGGACGATAATATTAAAACAGGAAGGTCACGCATGGGCTGAGTACATACTCTCAAAATTTCAGCTTTCTAGCCTTTCTGGTTCTCGGGTTGAAAGCCCGTTCAACTAGCCATGGCGAGAATGAGCGACAAAAAGTGTGAACACACAGACACACACAGGCACACAGACACACACATACATAAGCAGTTTTTTGTCAGTGTGCGGTTTTGCAATTTGCATATATGCAAAAACGCATAGAAAAGCTGATTCTGCTAGTGTAAGTGTTAAACAACGCAGCCTGCTAATTAACGAAACGCAGCTCGTTCAACTAGCCATTAGCGAGAATGTGCGAAATATGAATAGATTTATTTATTGCTCAGATATGAATAGATATTACAAGCAACTTGTCTGACTTAAATTGTCGCTAGACCCATAACCTTCGCTTACAAGGCTGAACGCCCCTGAAGTCTAAAAAATTTAATTTTAAGTCATTGCTCGAAAAAAACGTAAACTGAGCAGCTTGCTTATCAAACTGCAAACAAAAGGTCCGAATTGCCGAAGAATTTGATAACTCTGAATCCAGGCGCTTGTAATTTCTTCTGTTTCTAATGTTGTGGTCGACTTCAGCGGATAACCATGGAACTACCTGAGGGCTTCATAACTTCATTTTTTGGCCATCTGCAGCGCATGAGGACTCAGCGGTTTAATCATAAATCGAAAAGATCAAACACCAGGGAACCTTTCCCAGTTCCCATGGGTTCTTTCCTTCTGAGATGTAGAAACACTCGAAAATAGCCCGGATTGTAGCAAGTGGACAAATGATTAATCTTTATGCGAAATCTAAAAATCCGGGTTAGGAACTGGAAAATGTTCAAATTTGTCTCATGACAATGTATTTGAGACTCGTACCCTCCTCCTCCTACCTTTCAAACCACTCGAAGATTTGATATTTCACTTCAGAACGCCATTAATGAT